TATACAATTTCATTTAATCATTCCCCCGCCATCTGTTTGACGACACCATGACTAAGACGAGGGGGTCTACAGGGAGAGAAAGGTCATGAGATGAACTTATTAGGGAGAAATGAGGAAAGGAACAATAAATGAACAGAGTTCAGGAAGATAGAAAATGGCGATTATGGTTTTGATTTTTGTTTATGTTGCATGTAAAGTTTTGAAGATTGAAGTGGACAGAGAATCAAGAAATGGGAACTGCATTCCACAGGTGAGAAGTGCGAGAAAAAAATCTATTAGAATAGCACAGACGGTTGCATCTAGCTAGAGCAACATTAAAACGGTGATATGAAGTAGCATACATAAATTCTGGGATAGAATGTTTAATGTATGTGAGTTATCAGTTATTTTCTGTTTATTCCCCTCTGAAAGTTCTCCATTGACTTAACCGGGTATTGAACTCACACTCGTTGGGCCCTGTCACTGGATCTAACCAACGCCATTATCCACTGTTCCATGTGTCCTAGAAGACATCTGCGTATGAATTTCTGGGTATTATAAACCTAATGTCTTCATCAATCATTTTTTACCAGATGTCATATTGCAATTCTTGCTGTTATCATAGGATGTTTTTACCAGAGCTCATATTGTAATTTTTGCTGTTCTTATCGCTTTACTCTGGCCTTTCCTAGTACTCCGAATAATGTAAATAATATACATCTCAGAAATATAGACAGATACGATTATATCTGTAGATAAGTCATAGGGAAGCCACACCAAGTCGATGTGAAAAAGACTAATGTCGAGTTACTATGCCAGGATCGATTACATTACAGACCCTTCTTTGAATTTTTTCTAATATCACGAGATGTATAGTAAAAGCACCAGACCACATATGGCAGCAAATCTACATATCATAATAATAATGGGTAATCGAATGACAAAATAAAAAAATAAAAATCCCCGAGATGAAAATTCTTCTGTCAAATTATGGTTTTATCAAGAGAGTCACACACACACACACACACACACACACACACACACACACACACACACATATACGTTACTATATTGATAGATAGATAAAGTTGGGTTCAAATAAAGGTCAAATATGAAACGGAAGGGAAAGAACAAATCGGAAAGGTTTATCAATCTAACATGTTTCATTTTTATTAAAGTTTAAACCGAGAATGAGACACGTAGAAAAAGAAGAAAACAATTATATTTTTATTTTTGTGTTGTTTGATTTTCATTGGTCAATCCAATTGAACGTGTATTCCACTCTTTAAAACAACGTTAGCATAATTTGTGGCGTTCAGAATTCAAGACACGACGCGTCCATCGGAAGTTTCAAGAAATTACCGGATTCCAAGCCTCAATGAAAAACCCTAAATATTGTTGTAGGTGTTGAATTTGGGTGGCATTAGTAAAATCAGTGTGATGTCGAGTTTTATTCCTGTATATTCCTACAAAGATTGAATGGTTGTCTAAACGTAATTTTTTTGTTTTTTTAGATCACGGGATGTCTCTCCGATATACACTTTTTTACATTGCAAACAATTTATTTGATAAGTATCGGCATTTCAACTGTTGTTCTATTTATTTTTCTTCCCAGTTATATATTCGATTGTCTCGGACGTAGTGGTAAAGATCCCTGTATTAGGAATACCTAATTTATTTTCAAGTTTAGTAAAAAGAGTGTTAGAGGGTAGGATTTTGAATTTTATGTTGCTGTTAAAAGTGTTATCGGTAGTGTCTTGTTTTGGGGATTTGTGGATTGTAGATAGAGAGTTAGGTAGATAAAGAGAGTGAATTGGTCTGAACAGAGATACATCTATATAATGCAAACTAGATAGGCAGATAGATTGATTAAATGTTCAAAATTTGAAATACAAAGATAGATCGATATAATGCAAACACACATATATATATATATATATATATATATATATATATATATATATATATATGTGTATTTGTGTGTGTGTGTAGATAGATAGATAAATAGATAGAAAGAGAGTGAGTTTTGAAACATAGATAGATAGATAGATAGATAGATAGATAGATAGATAGATAGATAGATAGATAGATAGATAGATAGATAGATAGATAGATAGATTAAGAGAGTGAATTGTTTTGAACAGAGACGGATCGATATAATGAAAACTAGATAGATAGATAGATAGATAGATAGATAGATAGATAGATAGATAGATAGATAGATTAAGAGAGGGAATTGTTCTGAACAGAGACGGATTGATATAATGAAAACTAGATAGATAGATAGATAGATAGATAGATAGATAGATAGATAGATAGATAGATAGATTAAGAGAGTGAATTGTTCTGAACAGAGACAGATCGATATAACGCAAAATAGATAGATAGATAGATAGATAGATAGATAGATAGATAGATAGATAGATAGATAGATTAAATTCGGGCTAAAAATGATTGTTATATTCATACATGCATGCAACTATCAACGTACAATTGCATACATATATGCATGCAATCTGTAGATTTGTGTAAGAGAGAGAAAGACGAAATGTGAGAGAGTACTAGGTGGATATTCGTGACATTTGTCACAATCGAAGGTCGCATAAAATATTCAGTCGACGTTAAACTTAAAAAGAGCAGATGAAGCATTTGGTTCCCATAAATCATCGAAGAAAAATGTTAACTGCATCTGTCGAATACAGAGACGTGTTATATCTCGCGTCCAGAACCAAAAAGAAATGAAACACGTGACAGCAAATATTAATCCATTAAAAATGCAAAATATAATCTAAAGTAAGGCTCATCTGGGAACAGTGTCACGGCTTTTCTGTCATATCGTTTGCTTATATTTATGACGTCAGCCACCTTCATAAACCAATGAACAAAAGAGGCAAAACGTTGTAACTTCCCATCAAAAGGAAACAACAACAACAAAAAAAAACTGTTTAAAACAGAAGATGGCGAGATTGTTCATCATATCTTATTTTTTCCCGCTGGTGTAATTAGACACAACGAGTGATAAATTTATATGCATTACAATGTTGGAAATGTCTTAAAATATTTTACATGGTGTAAAATTTTAAATATTTTACTGGGTGTAAAAATAATACCTAAAATACTTCTATTTTATCTGTATCGTTTATATTAATTTCTGACTAATAAAAACCCCTTTCGTCTTAATCTTCAATACCTAGAATAGAGATTAGATCCCAGAATTAACTAAAATACATTGAACCGGCCACAAAAATCGTTCTGTAAAATTTCTGTTTGATATGCGTCGAATATTTTGGCCAAACTATTGTTTTAATGATAATAGCGTATATACCTGAGTATAATGCCTGTTTTATGTTTTTCTCTGCAAAAATAGAGGCGTCGCATTATACACATGTAATTTTTTTTGTGGAATGGTTAAAATTCATGCAAAAAAAATGCAAGTTTCGCGCTACAAACTACGTAAACGAGTAAATACAGTATACGAGAAAATCCTGTTTTAATCGGTATTGTTAATGAATTAATTATTATTCCGTCATAGCATTGCAAACGTTCATTCTTTCGACACCAAGTCTTCTTTTATGGGCCGCATTCCTTCATCACATAGGCGATGATAGTTGTCCACAACTACCTACTGTTGTGTTTCTTGATAGTTTTTCTAAGGCTCTCGTCCCTCGTTTCGCCATCAGTTCACACAAGATCATCAGTTAGATGATTAAAATTTCTCTTACCTTCAATATTGCTTGTGAGCGGTTTCCAAGCCGTCCTTCCTCATCTTATCTACAATGAATTTCAGTTGTCTCTTCCTGGTTCTAAATATAACTCTTCTCCCTCGCTGCTATCGTCCACGAAATTTTCAGGAACCGTCCGCAGAACAATATTTCTGTTAATTCCAGTTTTGTCCTCAAGTTTTGGGAGATCGTCCATGCAAGTGGATTGATCCAGCACGCTTGCTAAAACAAATATTCAGTAAGTTAAAAGCTGAAACATTTACATTTTATCATTACTAGGAACGGTTTTGAATTTACGTATTATTTTGTATATCATTTCGAGCAGAAAAACTGAATATTAAATAGTCGATTTTGAAATATTCATATTAGTTTTTCAGTATGTCGACACTCGATGAACATGCTATGAAACATTTGACAACACTTTATTCCTGATACATGATTTAATATTGATATTGTTAATATATATAAATGATGCGATGTCAGTGACATTGAAACTTTCACTGATGAATACTACAAATTAAAAAAATACGTGTATATATATATATATATATATATATATATATATATATATATATATATATATATATCCGAATGTAATGAGAACGAAAGTAATATAAAATATGGTGACTCTAAAAGTCATCAATGTTTGTCATACTCATTACAATATATAACAAAATATACTATTGATATAACTCAGATGCTAAAATGATTCCTTTACTCCAACTAAAATATATATGTTTTTAGAAATCTCTGTTCATGAATTTAAAAAATAAACGAATTTTGGTATTAACTGAAAAATTCTATAAACATAAACATATATTTTTTTTAAAAAATCAAACATGGAAGAAAAAAGATTGAGAACAAAATTTGACTATTTCAGTATTAGTCTATATTTCTGGGATGAGGTATTATGTACACTATTTACCTTATTCGGACTATTGTCCTCATCTTTGTCGCCATATTTATTACAACGTGGCACAGTGGATAAAGGCGTTAGTTAGATCCAGTGACAGGACCTAACGAGTGAGGGTTCAATACCCGGTTAAGGCAGTGGAGAACTTGCAGAGGGGAATTAACAGGAGATAACTGATAATTGACATCCATTAAAAAACATGGCACGTGAAACTAGAACAGTCTACCCCAGTGAGCGAAGTAAAGGGTTCAGTTCGGCATTCCAACCACCTGAAGAAGGACGGAGCGTACAATGGCCGAAACTTTGTAATAAATATGGCGACAAAGATGAGGACATTAGTCCGAATAATGTAAATATTTTGACTATTAATTGCCCCTTTTCCATTT